TCGAAATCAGTTCAGCCGTTCTCGACATATAAGAGATCTTTCAAGCATATCTTCTTTGATAGACATATATATCGCATATATATTGCTATAAATCCGATTTGTTGGATGTTAACATCAATGTAAAGACCAGAAGTAACTTTGTCATGGCTTTGTGATTTCGCCGGGATTTAAAATATTCGCAGTTTAATGAAAATTTTTGAATTTTTGCAACACAAAAGCTATGGTCTATTTTATCCGCTAAATATTATCCGATGACCACCCGAATTGGTAGGCTTCTTCCCTGCCCTAAACTCTAGCTACTGCAAAATCCGACATTTTTTCAGTATTTGGTCCATTTCAACCCCTAATCATTTGGCGATCATCTCCAAAAGAAATAGGGTTCTATTCTGATCCAAACCCCACCTTCGTGCAAAATTTCGTAAGGATCGGGCCATAATTGCGACCTGTGGAGTGATTACAAATTAACATGGACAGACGGACAGACGGACAGACGGACGGACGGACGGACGGACATACATAGCAAGATCGACTCAGCTCGGCGAGCTAGGAAGATCCATATATACTTTCCTATATGGGAAACCAATATTTCGTGGTGTTACATAATTTTTGGCCCAATCAAACTTATAATACCCCCAACACATAGTGTTGTAGGGTATAAACATAGTGTTGTGGGGTATAAAAAGGATCGTGCTTAAAGAAAGAATAAGTATAGAAATTTTTGTAGAAATTTAAAGAAAATGTGTAAAATGGGTAGGATACTAGCCTTTAAAGTCAAATATCTCCATAATGTCAATTGTGAAATACTGTAAAAGAAACACTAAATCCAGCAGACATAACTAACTCATATTGATATTTTCTCACTACATAATAGAAGATTTGCGAATAATGAGCTATTGCCGATATCGTATAGTATTTTCTATTGTGTAGGTGTAATAGAACCTATCTAACCAGTTGATTGTAATGGTTCAAATAGGATTGCATTTATTTAATTTTCTTGGAATCCAAAATATACAACCAAAAATAAATGTTTTGAGAAGAACTGATTTCATTGGAGGTGAATATGTTAGACAGAAATTGATAAGAATAATACATTGACTATCCCTGGGGCCAAAATTTATGTAACACCTCGAAATATTAGTTTCCCACATAAGTATATATGGATCTTCCTATCTCGCCGAGCTGAGTCGATCTAGTTATGTATGTCCATCCGTCCGTCTGTCCATGATAATTATAATCAAGCTACAGGTCGCAATATTGGTCTGATCCTCACGAAATTGAAAATGGAGGTGGGGTTAGGGTCAGAATATTTTTGGAGATGATTGCCGTTGCTCTATCGGCTTATTATAACCAATCGACGCGGAAAATTTACATGGAGTTAGAGTTTAGGACTGAGCAGAAGCCTGAGCCAGAAAAGGATAATATATAAGGATAAATCTAAAAAATATGAAGTGAATATCTTTTGTTCCATTTTTTTTTAATTATTGTCATATTTTTATCGCATGCGAGTTTTTTGACTTACAATTTTGAATTGTAAATTTTCTAAATTTTTACACCCCGCAACACTACGTTTTGAGGGTATTATATGCATGTCGTAATTATCACTCGATCCTCACGAAATTTTGCATGGGGTTAGGGTGTGAATTAAAACCTTTTGTTCTTAAGATGTGCATTTAGGGGTTCGCTCTATAAGCCACAATTGAAAACGAATCGACACGGAACTTCACATAAGAATAGAGTTAAGAAAAGTCATCGACGTTATAATGTCGCCTTATGTCAATCTATGAAATCACTCATAAGAAACTCTGGTGAACTTCACAGAGATCAGAGAGCAAAGATTTCTTTCCGCTCGCCTGTTATGTATGAACCTGAAAGTTTCTCATGAAATCTTCCTGTGTCTGACCCAATACATCCATAATTATCTTTTCCCCGTTTTCAAACAATTTGATTTAATCGCTTTCATTGCAACGCCATAATTTTTTAAAGCTTTTTTGCTGTATCTTCTTGTTGAACACAGCAAAGTGACACCCTTTTCAGTTACTTAAGAGATTTTTGCTTTTGCTGTTTTTGCGGCTATATCTTCAACTCTTTACCCCACAAAAATATTCAGTTAAGCTAGAATCTGGTGTTTGAAGTCGAAAAAGAACAACAACAATTACTTGGAGACATGGATGACCAAAGAACATTTTGTTTAAGGAATTCTTGTGCGTGGTTAAATCTCTGTTAAAAATCTGCATAAACGCATATAAAACTGTTAACTAACTCAATTTTGTTGCTGTCACTTTTTGTTTAGCTGGTTGCTGTGATGGTGTATTATTGTGTGCTTTGCTGTGGTGTGGCATGGTGTTGTGTCCTCTCAAATTTAAAATTTTACCCGCAACACCTCACAGCTTATGCTGGTTCGGTTTGGTTTTGAAGAAGAAATGCATTGAATTTGTGGCAGGCAGTGGCATTTATTTGTATGTTTGTCTGTGATTCGGTTTTTTTTTTTTTTTTTTGAAATGACCATCACCACAAACATGTTGGACTCCAATGAATGTAGTATTTTGAAATATATATTTTTTTCATTTAGTTTTAATTTTGTCTTCTTTTTTACTTTGTCGTCGTCATCCTCATCAACCGGGACGGGACTTTTTACGCGCTTAATGCCAAGTGTTTGTTGGGCTGGTGGTCATTGTTGTGGTTTAGTTGTCAGAGAGAATATTGTTGTAGATCTTTTTGTAATATGATCAAGGTCTGACTGGCCACATGGAAAGAAAATATGAATGGTTTGATAACGAGTCACCAGCAACTCAGCACTGTGCAGCACAACCTTAGGAATTTGAACCCTGATTGTAACAAAAGAGCTCTCAGCCAGGGGGTTATACCGAGTGTGGCAGACATGGCATGGCATCCATGTCTCTTCTTGAACACATTTTTGTTTAGCTTGGCAGACAAACTCTGATAGAGACAGACAGGCAGAGTTCATGTTAAGGTTAATGAGACTTTATAATGTAGTTCGTTGGGTTTTCTTTAAATTTAATATGAAATTATAACAAATGTTTGGAGTCACATGAAGACAAAGTGCCAGATAGGGGTAAAGAGAAAGCTCTATAAAAATCTTTAACTAGACATAAAAAATTGAGTTTCTGTTTTAATATTCTATTGAAATATTAGGTTGTATTTCAGTTTTGGAGCAACCTACTATAACCAGGGAAATGTGTCATTTGTTGTATGAATTTCTGAAATTGGTATGAATTTTCAGATAGGTGTCTATAAATTTTGTTAAAACAGTACTGTCAGTTCTCAGATGTTTCGAAAGAATTTTGTTAAAATGGGTATTCAGATTTTTCTGTTAACAATTCGGGCCCTTCATAAGCAAAATCTGACTTAATTATTTTGTATTGCCACCATAAAACGCTATCTTCGGTTTTTAAGCAATTGAAATATATTAGATGATTTTCTTTAGGAACTTCGGAAGTACGGAACTAGCCATTCCCTAGACATCGCGAGGGCTTTTGACCCTGTCTGGCATGATGGAATTTTATATAAATTCCAATCGTTTGGTTTTGACAGTCAATCCTGTAGAATGATCGCTAGTTTTCTTAGGGATCGATTCTTTAGGATAAAAGTTGGGAAGCGATTCTCCAGACGCCGCCCGGCCCTGGCAGGAATTCCTCAAGGCTCCCTCCTTAGCCCGATGTTATACAATTCTTCTCCTGCGACATCCCGGCTCCTCCCCCTGGTGTTCTTCTTCTGACATGTGCCGATGATGTCTGCTTGCTAGGTCGGTCAGCATGCGCGCTAACGAGTACCTCGATGCCCTCCATCGGTACTTCGTTAGATGGAGCCTAAAGTTGAATATAGGGAAACGTCATGCTACGGTCTTTCATTGTCGACCAGGCATCGATGTTTGGCTTTTGATCAAACCTATCGTCACCTATGCCTTTTCCGTCTGGTTTGACAATTCGTCACATCAGATGGAAAGGCTAAGGTTGTGGCAGATGGCTCCTATAGTGCAAATTCTTGTAGGTCGATCTAAGATAGGGTGCAGATATGACGAAGACTGGACTGGCATTTTGGGACAGATACCAGTCTATAGATAATAGCATCGTCGAGGGTATGTTGAGGTGCTTAGAAGATGTGAACCAGCTATCAGCTACGAGGTATTATAAATAATGCAGGCTTACATTTTCAAATAAGCCTTTGTAGCCCATTTTTGGTGGTTTGCACACCCTGACCATGTTTTACAAAAAGTATTTAGTTTAGTATTTTTTATATAACCGATTTGACTATAATATTAGTTTATTTGAGTTGTAATATAGTTTTTCTATGTATCGATTCAATATGAAAAAGTATAATTTTTATGAGACCCTATAGAGGCTTAGTAGCAAAAATTTTTGTTTTATAAGCTGTTATGCAAATTATTAAAAATTTCAAATAGTTTAAATTTCGAACTTCCAGGTAAGAGACTTTGTTTTATAGAACATCTATATAGGAATGTGTGATAATCTTTTATTGCCAAGACTAAATCTAATTTGTCTAAAAAGATCTCTGAATTTGGAATGTTTTTCTTTTTTTAATATTTGCAATGAAACTTCCATTTATCTAAATTCTTTCAATTATTCTTATAAGATTAATATTTTCATAATTCATAACAGAATCCTTACCTGATCTATCAAAAACATCTTGGAAGCATTCTCTTTCTTAAAGTAATTCTTCTCCGTGATTTCTAATCATAACTCAGACAGAATCCAATTAGATTTCAACACTTTAAATATCGTATACGATCACAGGTGTGTATGATTTACTTTTACCAATTCACCTTTGAGGTGAGAATGTTTGAGAAAAAAAAAAACTCATTGAAGAAGAAGAGAGTGAATACCATAATGGAGAGTAAGAAACAGCTCACAGGGGTTGGAGAGCCATTAACACTTGAGCGCTTGTTTTTTGCTACCTGCTATTTGGTAATTTTTCAAAGTCGAAAAACGTAGCTGTCATGCGCACATTCTCGGTCTGATGGTGTTATGCGTTGTTACCTGTCAAAACATAATTCAAAATGGGAACTTTTTACGTAAGCATTATGAGCATAACATCAACTCTGCGTAAAAATAGCATTTCAGTCTTAGTTTTGAGATGACTCTCTCGCAGTTCCAACTCTTTCATTCAAGACAAACGCACACACAGAAATCAGCTGTTTTGTGTTTTTATATTTAATGGCCGCTCGAAGCCGATGATTAATCATTTTTATTGCATAGCCGCAACAGCAAGCAAAGAAACAAAAAAGCCGAACGGAAAATATTTCTATCAAATCCCTTGCATCGAGATAAAAACATGTCTGGCATTATCATAATTTATTGAAAATGTGATAACCCACATTTCGCTGAATGCTAGCGCCACCACGATGAGAAGAACTAGCAAACCGGCAACAGACAAAAAGAAAACTTATATACTGAATTTCCTCTGGAGAAACGGGAAATGGAAATGTGTCTGCTTCTTTAAAATCATTCAAAAGTTTGTACTTTTTTTTAAAATAAATTTAAAACATAATTTAAGTTTCCCATCATATTAATGTTTTTATTTTTAGTTTCACATCAAAAACACAAACTTTTAACAACAAATCTTCATAATCTGACTTCATTGAGCAACACCATGAGACGATGGACACGAAATCAATGTTGTTTAGATTGCTGCTTGCTTGCTTCTGTGTGTTGCAAGAAATAATTTTTACCGCCGGCAATTTTATGCGCTGAATTAAAGAAAAGAAGGAACCAAAAAAAAAAAAAAACGCGGCGGTGAATGATCGATCCCTGCAAGAATTACCTGGCCAAATGCAAAAGAAGATTTCGTTTGTTCTTGACCAAAAATTGAGAAGAAGAAGAAATTTCACAATGAGAAAAGCAATGCAAAACGTCAAAATATATTTGTAAATGTGGTTGTTGGTGTTCATTTTTTGAGTTGGGTTCTTTCTTATTTCGGCGGGGGGACACAGCTTTTTTTTTCTTAATGAAAAATGAAAAGACAACGACAAGAACAGCGACAACGGCAAAGAGGATCGGACACACAACTGTTGGTGAACAACATATTTTTGGCAGTTAATAAATTTTCAAATAAATTGACTAATTGCATACCTACAGCAAAGCAATGTCCGCTTAAGAAAACAAATATACACAGTGAAAAATCGCATCCCCAACGATATAAAAAATTACTATCTCATAGAAAAGTTTAAACATTTTTAGAATGATACAGATTTTTATTTAATATTTTATCATTTTAAGAGAATGGAACCTGCTATTCCATCTATTCTAATGAAAGCAGGATTTTCGGTATGTAGAATGCGTATTAATACTAAAAACCGGCTGAAACATTGTCCACGTGAAATATTTAAATAAAAAATATTGCAATTATTACAATAATGTGAAAATGTTTTCCAAGTTGTTCGAATAACGGTGGAACAAATAAATATTTTGTTCTCTTCGTTTAACACAAGAATAATACAAGCACTGAAAAAGTTTCTACAGTGAATGACAAAAGTTTGTTTTGTTTTGACTTAGAGTTTGTTACATATTCAAATACTGGCTCTATATCCATTATTTATGATATGGATCGAATTCAGTTGACCAGCTACTCAATATATATTTTTTTATAAAACTCTAAGCCACAATTGTGAGCAGAATGGGTCAAAGACTTCCGTATTGTTCACATCGCAATCATAGATAGATCCAATAAAATGTGCAAGAGATTCGAGTTTAAGACAGGGGAAAATTGTGAATGAAATCATGAACTAAAAGTCACTCCAGAAATAGCATACGTCTGTTTAAATCACTATACAATCCATATTTCTTGACGTAGATATTTACAATTTGGCACAATAGTTTGTATGGAAAATGGTATATAAAGGTATATCGAACCAATTTTCTTATAGCCCCATATAACGTAAATCCCACGTATTTTGCTGATTTTAACCACATGTTTCTACAGAATTGTCTTAAATTTGGTTTTTAAGACTCGCTACAGATAACAATCCTTGTAGTAGATATTTGTGTGTATGGGTTTCAGTTTACGTATTTTCCCCATATAACGGTTCCATCTACTTTGTTTCATTTTTGAAAGCTTTAATTGCATCCTCCAACATCATTGGTGTTTGTAGGTTTCAGTGCAATCCATTCGAATCCAGATACTTTTATTTATTTTTTGTGCCCTCCACCATAGTGTGGAGGATATATTAAATTTGTCATTCTGTTTTTAACACCTCGAAATATACATTTTAGACCCCACAAAGTATTTATCAGCATAAAATGAATTAGGTTGACAAAATTTTACTCAAATGTCTATTATGCCTCCAGGACTTTTGGTATTGAAAATGGGTCATGTAGGTCCACGTTTTGGTATAGCCCCCATATAATGGTACCCCCCGACATACGGTAATTTGGTGATTTAAGCGACATTATTCACCGGCATCGTTTCAAATTTGATATTTGAAGTTCGTACTGGATACTAGAGCCTATGACAGAAAATTGTCTGTGCAGGTCCACGCCTTCGTATAGCCCCCATATAACGGTACCTCCCGATATTCGGTATTTTGATGATTTGAGCTACATTATTCACCGGAATTGTTTCAAATGTGGTGTTTGAAGTTCGTAATATATACTACAGTCTAGGACAGAAAATTTCCATTGTACGTCCACGTTTTGGTATAGCCCCCATATAATAGTACCTCCCTATATTCGGTATATTGATGATTTTAGCTACATTAATATCCGATTTTTTTTAAGTTTCGCATTTGAATATTGTAATGGCTTATGACAAAAGTTTAAAGAAAAAAAAATATATGGTCGAACTATCAGGAGAATATGTCCATTCGAGAGATGCAGACATTTTTATCGAAATTTTGTATAATTTGGAAATTTTAAAACAATTTGTCTGTTACTATATTAGGCACATAGTTTTCAGTTCCTTCTGTCATATTAAAAACCATTTTTGAGAACTTTTGTAGCTTATAATTTAATAATTTATTTTATTTAAAATTAAAATTAATTTGCTAAACTTTTTTTCCCGCCACTGTAATAGGTCACACTGAGAGTAAATTAGTGTTGTGGTGTGTTGCTGTTGTTGCATTTCATGTTAGACGACAATCAAATGGCCGATAAACATCAGCACTGTTGCATTGTGGGTTATTAGTCTTTAAAAATTAAAATTTATGATTTACTAAATGTTAAAATCAATTAGTGCAATGTGCAGTCTGCAATGGTGGTTTGTTTTACGCTACGGCAGCATGTGGATGAATAAAATTTAGATTTTTTTAGTTGAATGTGATTTTGCTTTGATTTATCAACAACTTTAACAAATAATATGGATTTGTAGTGTAATCTGAGTTAGATTTGTGTTTTGGTTTGTCCTAGGAATATTGTACCAAAATAAGTGAAATAATTACAAATAATTAAAATTGAGATAAACTTATACTTTGAAACTAATATTTATTATTTTCCGATAATTATTATTTCGATTGATATTCCATATTAATTTTCTGTAGAACTTTTTTTTTGGAATATCTTTGTCTAGTAGTTTTTGTTCTCTGCAATTTAAAATGAAAACTATTTTCTTAATAAATTGTTCTTGTGACATTTCTTTAGTTTTTAAAATTTCCATTATAAATTAGTATAGAAGAAGAAATATAAACCCTGGGATGTATCATTCGTTTAAAGTTATAATTGAGGTAAAATTTACTTTTTAGACTTAATTGTTGTTTTATTTTGTGTAACGGGCAGTTTTGTAAGAATTTTTTAATCCGTTCTCTATACAAAATAATGATATAAAAACGTTCAATATAAAAACTTCCTATTTTTAATCATTTTTTTATTATTTTAAATAATTTTACAAAAAAGTGAAACAAGAAATGTTTTTATAAAAGACCTATTATGTAATAAAAATTAAGAATTCTCAAACTTTGGTCTATGTTTTTAAAGAAACAAAATTAAAAAATTTCTTTTATAATTTATTCATTTCACTTGATTTGATTAAAATAATTTTCATTGCACATCTTCATAGAACAAGAATTGAGCACATGGAAAATATAATTTTTGATAGATTTCGCAATTAACTAGGACACAATTTCCTTTTTTGTTAATTTTTATTTGTTGTGAGAATTTTTGGATCTATTCTCTCCCAAAAACCATATGTTAGCAGTATGTAATTTAATATTAGATAAATATTTTAATATGATATAGAACAACATTTTTTAACAATTTTTATTTTGGATTATTTTGAATAATTCAAAAATTAATTTTTATCTCAAAGAGAAGCTTTTGTAAAGGACCGATAATTTAATAAAAATAACGAAACCCCAAACTCTGGAAACATCCCCACCGTTTACTGTGCGAACTATACCACCACGTTGTGTCCTGTGGCCCCAAAATGATTGTAACCTCTTATATTTATTAATATGGACAGACTTACGGATGGACGGATAAACGGACCAGGCAGACGGACATGTGGATTTTCGAGTGAGTATGTATGTATGAATGTATGTTTGCATGAATGAGTGTAGTAACTATGTTAGTCTATATGAACATTTTATGAGCTGTTAAGACCACTTAAAATACAAAATGCTCCCCAGTTAACCATTGTGGAGTGTGTAAAATCAAATAAGTGTCCGGTTTATTGCTGTAGTTTGTAGCTGTTGTGTTATTTTTTTCGTTTTGCCATGCGTCGTCCCTTTGCAGTTGAAGAAGCTGCTGCTACTTTGGATTTTGCTGGTGGTACTTATTTATACTGGTACCTTTATTTTGATGAGAAATCTGCTTCTTTTTGCTCTTAGATTATTAGTTGTGGTTAAATTAGTTAAATGTTTATTGTAGCTTCTGGAGTTTGTTCGTTAATAGTTTTCTAGTTGATGGAAAAAAACAGATGTGTTTTGTTTGGGCATCGGAAAAGTGTGTATTTAACAGATTAGATTTTAATTTAGTAAAAAGTAAAGAGAAACTTAAAGAGCTGAAGATTGCCTAATTTCTTTCATTTTTATTTCAATTTTCTAACATTCAATTTACATAATATATGTGTATTTCTATTCAAATCCTAAGGTGATTTAGATTGAGTCTTGATTGAGGATAAAATTTCAAGATGTTCCTAATTGTATCCTAACTATTTTGTAATACCGAACTACATCTGTATTTTTTATTTGTAATTAAAAAACTTGTATAAAGGGAATAAATTATTTGTCCCAATTGGAAACCCTTGTTCCCCCTTTCTATTGTGTCTAAAACTCTTCTAAGCCTTATTTAACTAACAAATATTCCCCTCTTACTGAAATTAAATTCACAATCCAATGTATTTTGTCGCATTTACAACAAAACATGCTTGTCCAGGCTTTTATTTTTTTGTTTTGTTGAGCATAGAAATTTTTGTCGTATTGCAGGTGCTTTCTGTTTGTTTGGTCATGTAGCTGACATTCTTTTTTTCTGGTCACTTCTATTTGTATATTTTTCCCATATGCATGTGTCCCTTTTTTGTGACGTCCACAACCGTGTTTGTATGGCTGTGCCGGGCCACCACATGTCTCATTCTGTCGTTCTGTTGGACTCAATGTCCTTACAGCAAAACACCACAGTCAAAACCCAACCTTTCTTTTTGATGATTTTATGTGTTGGTTCGTCGGTCGGTCGGTCGGGTCGTTTGGTTAGACCACGTGTGCTTTCATATGAATATGAATTATGGAAATTATAGACGGAAACAACACTTACAAAATCTGCTATGGCAACAAATTTCATAAATACTATTTGCCGTTTCGAG